AATTTTTTCCTGAACTAAGAATATATTAACAATCACAATTAATGATTAGGAAAAAAGTGAAGGAAAGGAAAAAATATAATCTGAACAAGAAAACAAAAAAAATAAATAAAAATATATAAATGTTGAGACGCAAAAAACTGTTAACTAGTTACTTGTTGACATACCCCAGAATACATAGCTAGAGTTGTCTCCAGAATATTTTGAAAAGATGTAAAAAAAATTCCTAGGAAAGGAAAAATATAATTCTGGATGAAGGAAATATAATATTCTGAACAATAAAATTAATAATATAGGAAATAAACTTTGGATAAGTCACGTGAACTGTTAACTAGTTACTTGTTGACATACCCGAGAATACATAACTAGAGGTGTCTCCAGATTATTTTTTGAGGTTCTAAAAAATTTCCAAGTAATTTATCCTGAACTAAGAATATGTTTAACAATCTAATTAATCATTAGGAAAAATGAAGGAAAAATATAATTCTGAACAAGAAAACAAAAAAAAATTTATAAATGTTGAGACGCAAAACTGTCAACTAGTTACTTGGTGACATACCCGAGAATACATAGCTAGAGTTGTCACCAGAGTATTTTTTGAGGTTTGAGGTTCTAAAAAATTTCCAAGTAATTTTTCCTGAACTAAGAATATTTTTAAACAATCTCAATCATTAGGAAAAATGAAGGAAAAATATAATTCTGAACAAGAAAACAAAAAAATAATATATAAATGTTGAGACGCAAAAATGTAAACTCGTTACTTGTTGACATACCCGAGAATACATAGCTAGAGTTGTCTCCAGAGTATTTTGAAAAGATGTAAAAAAAAATTTCATAGGAAATGAAAAATATAATTCTGAATGAAGGAAATATATTTTATTCTGATCAATAAAAAACTAAAAAATATATAAATATAAACTCTGGATAATTTTTCCTGAGCTAAGAATATTTTTAACAATCTCAATCATTAGGAAAAATGAAGGAAAAATATAATTGTGAACAAGAAAATGAAAAAATATTTATAAATGTTGAGACGCAAAACTGTTAACTAGTTACTTGTTGACATACCCGAGAATTCATAGCTAGAGTTGTCTCCAGAGTACTTTTTGAGACTGTAAAAAAATTTCCGAGTAATTTTTTCTGAACTAAGAATATTTTTAACAATCTCAATTAATCATTAGGAAAAATGAAGGAAAAATATCATTCTGAACAAGAAAACAAAAAAATAATTTATAAATGTTGAGACGCAAAACTGTTTATTAGTTACTTGTTGGCATATCCAGGAATACATAGCTAGAGGTGTCTCCAAAAATTCTCCTTTAAGACAAAAAAAATAACTGATGCATCTTGAAAACTACAACAAACTGCAATTTGACCAAAATATATGCCTAACATTGGGCAGTTATCCAAAAAAATTAAAAAAAAAATGACTAAAAAATTAGCCAAATATATTTTTACATTTCATCATTGCTGGTTCTGTTCTGACCTGCTGTGCCTATTGCTGCATAATTACTCACTCACATATAAGTGAGGCTGCAATGCCACATTTTTTTTTTTTTTTTAACACTAATTTGATATATTTTAGTACTTTTTGTAATTTTTGCTAACTAGCGATTGTTTAATTGCTTTGAATTTGTACTTTTTAATATTTTTTTTATGGGTGATGTTCAGTTAATTTGAAATGTTTGAGTTCATATTTCACACAATTTGAAAAGGGGGCATAAAAATAATTTTCTCAAGACTCGCACAAAATTAAAGAAAAAAAAAAAAATAATGTTAACATGTTTAAATCGTACAGAAAACAAAATATGAGAATTGTTTTTGAGCTTCCTTTTAATTTTGAGGTTTTAGGACAAAATGCAACCTTTTAAGTATAACTAAAGGCAAAATTTTTTTTATTTTTTTTTTTTTTTTTTTTAGTTTTGGATAAAATGGAGATGGATTAGCAGTTTTTTATTGCTGTCTGTGTCCCCTGTTAGGGAGATGATTTGTTCTCTCTGTTTGTCCTTTTTACCATTATCATCAAAAAAGTGAAAAAATCCCCAAATAATAGAGTGGAAATTCGAAAGTCTTCAAACTAGTTCTGGTGACCTGGGGGGTCCTCAAGGAATTCCTTTAATTTGCAGAAATTCTTTCACTTCCTGTTTTTGGCCATGAGACAGAAAGTGAAGGTAAATTTCCCCAATGGGACACAAATGTCAAAAAAAAAAAATTTTTTCCAGGGTAATAAAAAAAAAAAAAAAAAAAAAAGTTTTGCCTATCGTTCTACTTTAAAGAAATGGTATGTTGGGACATGAGCTTCAATATTGTGGTCACATGTTGCTCATCCCTGTTCAGAATTTTGTGTTTTTCATTGTAACTACTTAACCTTGTTTAATGCTATGAGATTTTCAGCAGATGGGTATTTTTTATTTTTTTGAAAAATGTAACTTTGATATATAACTGCCAAATTGCCAAAAAAAAAAAAATAGTCCACTTCCATGTGCCTATAAAGAGCGACCTGTGCATTTCAAAATATTTAAATTATATTTTTTTAATTTTAAAATACAACAGAAATTAATTTTTGAAAATTAAAACAAATTGCGATTTGACCAAAAGATATGCCAAACCTTGGGCAGTTATCCAAAAATATTTTTAAAAAATGACCTGAGTATATTTTTACATTTCATCATTGCTGGTTCTGTTCTGACCTGCTGTGCCTATTGCTGCATAATTACTCAGTCACCTATAACTGCCAAATTGCCAGAAAATTTCCACTTCCATGTGCCTATAAAGGGCGCCCTCTGCATTTCAAATATTTAAATTATCATTTTTAAAATTTAAAAATACGACAGAAATTAATTTTTGAAAATTAAAACAAATTGTGATTCGACCAAAACATGTGCCTAACATTGGGCAGTTATACAAAAATATTTTTAAAAAATAACCAAAAAAATGAGCTGAGTATATTTTTTTATATTTCATCATTGCTGGTTCTGTTCTGACCTGCTGTGCCTATTGCTGCATAATTACTCACATATTCTGGCGCACCTCGGTTTACGAATGCCTCGGCTAACGTAATGAAAATCCATTGAAAATAATGGCTCAGTTTACAAATTTTTTTTTCGCAATACGAACGGATTAATTGGTTTTCAATGCATTTACGAATTTTTTTTAATCATGTCCCTGTACAGTATTTATGCCTTTAACCACTTCCAGTCCGGACACTTCCACCCCCTTCCAGTCCAGGCCAATTTTCAGCTTTCAGTGTTATCACACTTTGAATGACAATTGCGCGGTCATGCAACACTGTACCCATATGAATTTTTTAGCATTTTTTTGAGACAGATAAAGCTTTATTTTGGTGGTATTTATTCACCGCTGGGATTTTTTTTTTTTTTTGCTATAAAAATGAAAATGTCCAAAATTTTTGAAAAAAAAAAGTGTTTTTCTTATAAAATTTTGCAAACAAATAGTATTTCATCATAAATCTTGGCCAAAATGTATTCAGTTATCTTTTTAGTAAAAAAAAAATAAGCCAAATTAGTTTATAACCAAAAATTATAATTTTTTTACATTTTTCTTTTCTTTTTTTTTTATATCATTATTTATGGGTTTTTTTCCTACATACTGTCACCCTAGCAGTACTGCGTCACCATGGTGACAGTGTACTACTTGTGGGGTGTGATGATTTTTTTTTTTTTTTTTTTTTTACACTGATTGCCTTTACACCCATAAAGGCTGTAAAAGCAATCATTTCTCCTTCTCTCTGGCTGCATTCTTGCAGCCATTGAGAAATACTGTTTGAGCTGTGATTGGTCACAGCTTCTCACATGGTACAAGGCTGTTGTGAATAGCCCTGTACCATGTGACCTCTGAGATCATTCACAGATTTCACACGTAGTAAGCAGTGATGTCAGAAGTGACATCTTGCTTACTACTCTGCATGTGATCACTGATTGGCCAATCAGTGATCACATGATCGGGACCTTGCACAGAGGTCCCGTATGACGATCGGTGTTCTACTGTGTTCGGAGGACACAGCGGGCACCGGATCGCGGTACTGCGCACTCCCAGGGAGCGCACAAAGTAGGGAGTGGGGAGGACCTTTATAAACGGCCACCGGCCCCTGCACTGCCACCGTCCGGCCGTTTATATACAACGGCCAGACAGGAAGGGGTTAAATGGATGTTGTGAAAAATAGACGGCGTTCTGGATTGACGCGTTTCGCTCATTCTGTTTCTTCAGGATCCATGCTGATCACCAGAGACACCGGATCACGTAGACACCCAGGGAGCGCGCACAGTCCATAATGGCGCCATTTATGAATGGCATCCCGCCCCTGGACTGCCACCGTCTGGCCGCTCTATATATATGGACTGCCAGACGGTGGCAGTCCAGGGGCGGGAAGTGGTTAAAGTGCACTTTATAAAGACTTTTGAACAGATAAGACTTTTTTTTTTACTTTTTTCTGACCTCCGGGACAAATTAATTGCTTTTCTGTGCATTCCTATGGGAAACCGCCGTTTCAGTTTACAAATTTCTTTTCGCAATACGAAACGTCCCGGAGAACGCATTAAATTCGTAAACCGAGGTACGCCTGTAACCGCCAAATTGCCCAAAAAAAAGTCCACTTCCATGTGCCTACAGAGGGCGCCCTCTGCATTTCAAATATTTCAATTATAATTTTTTTTTATAAATTTATATTAATTTTATAAACTCAAAAGACAACAGAAATGAATTCTCGATGGACATTTCAGAGGTTTCACAATTTCAGCGGAGTGGAAATTAAGTCAGTGAAAATTTTTCAAATGAAATCCACGATTTTTTTTTTTCCTAACCTAATTGGAAACCATTTTTTTTTATTTTCTGCATTGAAAAAATCTGTTTGAGCGTGGATCTGATCTCTCGGAATGATTCTGACTTTTGAAAAAAAAAAAAACATTCATCCTTTTTCTCCAGCTGTTTTCCTCCTTTTTTTTTCTCAACCTCCTCTTTCTGTCTTCTTTTTCTTCGCGTTTTAGTTCCTTCTCACATTCCAGTTCTACGCCCACTAGTTGGCTGACGTTTTTGCTACCGTAAGGTGATTTTTCTTGCTTACCGTCTTCCAAAAGTGTGTAACTAATACTGCAATAATATTTTTAACCACATTTAAAAAAAAAAAAAAAAAAAAAAAAAAAAAAAAAGGAGGGGGGGCGGGTTATTCCAAGCTAACGCGTTTTGCATCCTGTGCTGTGTGTTTTAACTGTTATGGAGCGATCTGTGTCCGTCTGGTCTATAATCCCAACTACTCACCTCTCACTTCATAGGCCAATAACATCATTCCAATAGACGGTGTGTGTGTCCCGTAATCAGTAATTCATGCCTGTGCCTTGTTGCTACTAATGATGTTGCTTACGATGTGTGAAAAACGTGTAAAAAATAAATAAATAAAAAAAGAAAAAGAAGAAAAAAAAAAAAAAAGGGAGGGGGGCGGTAATATTTATAGGTCTCTATCTGAGAAGCATTGAGCCGTCTTTGGAGTTGAAATGATACGTTTTATTGGTTAACTGGGCAAGAAACAGGCTGTTGTGTATCCAAAGGGTTCAAGGAGTGTCGTAGAATATCAGATAGAAGGTCTACTTGGATGGTGGCCATGATTTCACAATACCATAAGGAATTCAAGGAATTTTTTTTTCTCCATTTTTTTTTTCTCCATTTTCCATTTTTTTCTCCCATTTTTAGAAACATAAAAGATATTTTTTTAAATATTTTTCTATTTTTTTTTTTGGAAGGATTAAACAACCCAACCGTTTATTTGAGGTTTGTGTTAATCATTTCTAGTAATTTAATTAATTTGACCATTTTTATTGTCTACCATCAGGATCATTTGAAATGTCCTAACCAGGGGCGGACTGACCATTCAGGCACTCGGGCGCTGCCCAAGGGCCCGGGGTCAGTAGGGGGCCCCATGAGATGCCCCTGGTACCTTTCATAGGCTTTTTTGGGTGTGGTTTGAATGTGAGCAAGGACACAGAGGTCCCATGATCCCCTATCCTAGCTACAATTATTCAAACTGAGTCAGTGGTAAAATGCCCCTTACATTGGTGGCCAATAGCAAGCATGCCCTCTTTACAGTGGTGACAAGAAGGCCATCTTTACAGAGGAACAGTTTAAATAATTATCAGGTCTTGAGGAAGTGGGCCAGTGGGAAAAAATGCCCCATATGTTGATAGTCAGTAGGAAAAATGCCCCATATGTTGATAGTCAGTAGGAAAAAATGCCCCATATGTTGATAGTCAGTAGGAAAAATGCCCCATATGTTGATAGTCAGTAGGAAAAATGCCCTTTATGTTGATAGTCAGTAGGAAAAATGCCCTTATGTTGATAGTCAGTAGGAAAAATGACCCTTATGTTGATAGTAGGAAAAATGCCCTTTTACATTGGTAGCCAGTAGCAATTGTGTTCCCCTTGCAGTGGTGGTTAGATTGCCACCTTTACAGAGTAACCCTTCAAATATTTATCAGGTTTTGGGAATCCCAGCTAAAAATATTCAATCAGGGCCAGTGGGAAAATTGCCCCTTACATTCATGGTCAATGCAGAAAATTCCGCTCCCATTGGTGGCCAATAGCAAGCCTGCCCCCTTTACAGTGGTGACAAAAGGCCATCTTTACAGAGGAACCCTTTAAATAATTATCAGTCTTGAGGAAATACCAGTGGGAAAAATGCCCCATATGTTGATAGTCAGTAGGAAAAAATGCCCCTTCTGTTGATAGTAGGAAAAATGCCCTTATGTTGATAGTAGGAAAAATGCCCCTTATGTTGATAGTCGGTAGGAAAAATGCCCTTTTACATTGGTAGCCAGTAGCAAGTGTGCTCTCCTTGCAGTGGTGGTTAGATTGCCACCTTTACAGAGGAACCCTTCAAATATTTATCAGGTTTTGGGGAATCCCAGCTAAAAATATTCAATCAGGGCCAGTGGGAAAATTGCCCCTTACATTCATGGTCAATGCAGAAAATTCTCCTTCCATTGGTGGGCAGTAGCAAGCCTGCCCCCTTTACAGTGGTGATCAGAATGCTACCTTTACAGACAGCTAAACAAGATCATTGGTGTCATGCTGCTGGCTCAGTCACATAGTGTTGGACCCCAAACTATGTAGGACCCATAAGATGAAAGGTAAATTAGTCACCGCTCAAGGAACCCCTAGCAACCTCTAGAGGAACCCTAGGGTAGCATGGATCCCTGGCTGAGACTGGCTGCTCTCCATCATCGGACTTGACTTATCAATTTATTTAGCTTATGCCACCAATTCTAAGTCTTTCAGACAAAGTATTTTTCTGTAAGTCCTTTGTAGCCTTTACAGTTTTATCCTTGCTATGGAAATAAAAATGGCGTAGTAACAAAATCCACTTTTGAAGCTTTTTTTTTTTTAGCTGTTTATAGCTAAACCAATCAAACTAAAGTCAAGTGGGAAGAAGGCACAGACACTCAAATGATTGATTCTAATGAGCATGCCCCAATAATTTAACATAATGGCCAAAGTTGCATCGCAACTCCTCGCATTGGAGACCTTTGTCTGGTGGTGGGAATATACTGTTCTTTATTCCATGGCAATCAAGTACAATGCTGAAGTCTTGGGTCCACTTGACCAATGGCCATGTTTGAAGAACCTTTGATTTGTGGTAGATTTGGGTGTTTGTTCAACTTACTTTATAAACTGATAATCCATATTAATTGGTTCCAAAAAGTTGTGGGAAGTTAAAAGCATCCCATGGCGGTCAAGTGCAGCCCTGAAGTCTTTGGTCCACTTGACCAATGGCCATGATTGAAGAACCTATGATATGTGGTAGATTCGGATGTTTGTTCAATTTAATTTTAAAAATTGATAACCCCTATTAATCGGTTCCAAAAAGTTGTAGGAAATGTAAAAGCATCCCATGGCGGTCAAGTGTGGCCCCGAAGTCTTTGGTCCACTTGACCAATGGCAATGCTTGAAGAACCTATGATATGTGGTAGTTTTGGATGTCTGTTCAACTTAATTTCTAAATTCAAAATCCTTTTTAATCGGTTCCGAAAAGTTGTAGGAAATTTAAAAGCATCCCATGGTGGTCAAGTGCAGCCCCGAAGTCTTTGGTCCACTTGACCAATGGCCATGCTTGAAGAACCTATGATATGTGGTAGATTCGGGTGTTTGTTCAACTTAATTTATAAATTGATAATCCATATTAATCGGTTTAAAAAAAGTTGTAGGAAATTAAAAGCATTCCATGGCGGTCAAATGCAGCCCCAAAGTCTTTGGTCCACTTGACCAATGGCCAGGCTTCAAGAACCTATGATATGTGGTAGATTCGGGTGTTTGTTCAACTTAATCCATAAATTGATAATCCATATTAATTGGTTCCAAAAAGTTGTGGGAAGTTAAAAGCATCCCATGGCGGTCAAGTGCAGCCCTGAAGTCTTTGGTCCACTTGACCAATGGCCATGCTTGAAGAACCTATGATATGTGGTAGATTTGGGTGTTTGTTCAACTTAATTCATAAATTGATAATCCATATTAACTGGTTCCAAAAAGTTGTAGGAAATTTAAAAGCATTCCATGGCAGTCAAGTGCAGCCCCGAAGTCTTGGGTCCACTTGACCAATGGCCATGCTTCAAGAACCTATGATATGTGGTAGATTTGGGTGTTTGTTCAACTTAATTTCTAAATTGATAATCCATATTAATCGTTCCGAAAAGTTGTAGGAAATTTAAAAGCATAAGCACACTTTCTCAAGCCTAGGAACCTCGCCATCTGTATGCATCGCTTCATTGTGTTGACCTCTGTGAGTTGCACGTTAATCTGTTCGGCGCTCTTTTTGAAATCTGCATGTTCCATAACCCATGTTGCTCGTTGCACACAAACCACCTTTGCTCCATGTCTATCTTTGTGTTTTTCTTCTATTTCAGACTCTTCCCAAATGGATTTTTTTCCTCTGCTCTCCATTTTATTTTTTGGGGCGGGCAATTGAGTAGGATCTTAAGTCACATGCTTTTTTTTCACATGACGTGAACTTTTTTTTTTTTTTTCCTATCCATGTGTCTGAAAATTGTTGTCATGTATGTATGAAACATACGACAAATTGTGTTCAATCCGATGGCATTTGATTTGTAAAAAAGAATAAATGCATTCGTTCTTTAATTACTTTGGTTTTGTTTCTTTGATTCATTTTTCATCCTTTTTGTTTTTTACATTTTGTTGTTTTTGGTTTTTTAATGGAACCATCTTTTTATATGACATGAACAACTTGTTTTATATTAAAATTGAGAATAAATATCAGAAACCATCGAAGAGTTGAGTGTTCGTAGCGTGTCAACCAGTCTTCTAGCAGGTGCCTACTTGACCATTTTGAAGTCTGACCAGCAGAGGCCCAATCTCTACCCTTCTGGACTCTCAGCTGTTTCGTCACCGCTCAGTATTGTGCAGTTCTTGTGTTGTGCAACATCTTCTACCGAAGACCATTTCAAAATGGCTGCTCTTTTGCGCTTGGCTCTACTTCCTCACCACAAAAGAACTTTTGAAACTGACTTTACTGGTACCAAATAGAGACTTAATGGTAAAATTCCATAATGTCTATTGATATATATTTAACCTCTTCACGCCGGCCAAACGCAAAAGTGCAGCCACCCAGCGTCTGGGCCTAGACGCCGAGCGGCCGCACATTTGCATTCTACTAAAAAAGGACATATGTGCTGAGAGCATGCGCTCAGCACACATGTCCGGTACTGACGGAAAGGTCCTGATCTCTTTCGATCGGGACCTTTCCCGATCATGTGACTGCCGTAACGACGCGTCACGGTGGTCACATGATCCTAAACCCCACCCTGACTCCCTACTTCTGAAACCCTTAAAGGGCCGGGAGGCGCCGGCATGAAGGGGTTAAAAACCATGGAACTGAATGGCCCTAAAAATAATCACGTATTGGTGTAATATGTCTGCTCGCAAATATAAACATTTCTATTCCCCATGGAAAGCCTAGGAGACTATATCAGGGGTCTCCAAACTTTCTAAACAAAGGGCCAGTTTACTGTCCTTCTGACTTTAGGT